CTATGAACGCCGTCATATTTGTATGTTACATCAACATATATATATATAAGTATAGGTTATATCTACAACCGAATAAGGAGTTAATATTACAGAAGCCACACACGGACACACCAAGCAACGCACCTCCCGGTTTCTGGGTTTATCTTCCCCTTGGGTGTATTTGTCCGGGTGTACTTTTTAATCTTTTCGCGAACGACTCGAATGCCTGCAATGCGAAACACACATCAAGTGGAGAATTCAACAAGGTACAGGAGGGGGGAATCACCACCGCCCCCTGATGGTGATGATGAAGGCAGCAGAGCGCTGCCTCACCTCTTTCATCTGAAGCGTTCAACTCCAGCAGTCTCGTCTTAGCGTCTTCTCGCCTGGCACGGAGATTGCACAAACATGAGCAATCGCAGAGGCAGTCAATGAAGTACGAATGCAGAGAGACGAATTCTGCATGTTGTGTTGTTTAAAAAAGATACGCTACGAAACGTTTGTAATAAATTCTGGAAACGCGCAAAAACTTTTTCTTCAATACCCGAAAAGCTCCTTCACGAGCGCCAACGCCGCCGACGTCTTTCCGGATCCAGGGGGACCAAAAAAGAGCAAGTGAGGCATCTGAGCGCATAATTGAACGCATTCTGGTGAAACTTGTCGTCTTGTGCATTGTATAAAAGGAAAATATATTCGTAACGCGTGCAAAACTACCGTTCAAAACAAACACAAATGCCTCACGTTTCCGGTCTCAATGATCCGCGAGAGAAGACGCTTCGCTTCAACCTGCTGCGAAACCTCCGCGATTTTTCTCGGACGGCTGCAGAGAAACAGATCAGAGTTGTGTCAATATACTGCATGTCATATCATTGGTGTACATCATATTGATTCAGAGACTAGAGTGATACATGGAAATATTGAATGCAGGTGTATCTATCACGCACTACTTCTCCACCCATGGTCTGGCGTCTGGAGCCGTCTTGATCATTGCAGTGGCCATTTATACTGCAGTCCGTTTCTTATTCCTTGCAGCTGCCAAAGAGATTTCCCGATGCAGCTGACGGCTTGAAGACGAATCTTCTGTTGCTGCGGTCTGGGACGGTCTGGAGTGTTGAGGTGTACGATAAAGTGCTGGGAACGGTGGAAATGGCTAGAATTTCAGATCTCAAAAATACAGGCAATTTGCATTCCAGTTTGTTTCCGAGAATCCCCGTCGGACAGTCAAAGATTTACTTAGCTGTGGCGGGCAGCCCCCAGACACAGATGGTCCTGCAAATCCTGCAGTTCACCATATAAATCACCTCCCCCCACACATACCACGGTATATTTACGAATCCTTGTGTTTTTTAGCCGCAGAAAATTATAAACTGTACAGACGCCTACTGGACGAGATTAGAGCCACCAACCCAAACATGAGCCACAAATAAACCACCTACGCATGCGCTGGCTTCTGTCCTTCATGCCTACTGCTCTTGAAATTGAAATCTCAAATACAATTTCGTTTTAAATAACTCTTTATTATGATGTTGTTCAACACGAGTTCGCATCCTGCTGATGTACGCACCGCCCGATCATGGAATATATATATTTCGACACTGATCGATACACAGTGACTACGGAGATTATCCAGCTCTAACGCAGAACACTCCTGCTCCTTTCAGTCCTAGATACTGACATTAGTTAGAAACAAATTTGGCAGCATAGCTTTGCAAACTAAGCACTTACAACTGAATTCAATGGGAGTACTAAACATATACATTTGAATTCAATGCAGATGCCCGACACATACAATGCTGATACCAAGCACCTACAGCGGCATTCAGTGTTGATACTAAACATCAACCACCGCATTTAATGGTGGGTGGTTGCGTTGCCATCCCTCTGTCCGTTCTGTGCCTTTGAGGTGCGACGTCTGGTGCATCCAAAGGCATCCTTTTTTCCTGTGACTGAGCTGTAGCGAACGCGCCGTAACGTGGATATAGTTTACTCCTCAGCAACGCAAATGCAGAAAACAGTATAGATTTAGTGTTGCTCACAATTATTATTGCTAACTAAATCGAGATTATTATCGGCATTAACATTCTTGTTACCGCTGACGCAAATAGGACTCTGAAGGCATAGATGCACAGCAAAGGGCACCGCTGGCTGTTTCGTCTAAGCAACTATATTCAAGGGGTGACAAATACCAACTTCACGTCTAGAGAAATAGAAATAAATCCCGGACTTGACGGCAAGTGCGGTCGCTACTACTTAGGAACTGATTTGTTTTTGTATAGAAACAGAGAGTGACTGATTAGGCGCAGAAATTGTTTGGGTTGTAACAGAAAATATTATTTATATGACGAGGTTATCGCAGATGAGGCGAAGTTTTCAGTTGCTTGTTGCGGACTGGTAATTCGGGGGACTCCCGATCATGTGATGATGAACATTCAAATCAATGCTTTACTTGGGCTTTTTGTGCAATTAATTTTGGTTTTTTTTATTCAATTAATTTCCGTTTCTTGTGTAATTGGTGCTTCAGCAAATGAGGGTCTCATCTCTCTGCCTATGCGCAGCAGCTGATGGCCGGATTGATTGCTGTAGCCGTACACTATGGGGTGGCCCAAGGACCCCTCTTCTGCCTTCTATTCAGAATTTGCTGATGCAAAATTTTTCAACACTCAGGACTCCGTCGAAGTTCCTTTTGTCCTGCATAGTATTCCAATAGAGATGCATCAAGCAAAGATGTAGATAAACTGTCTCTAACCTGGAACATAATGATGTTGTAGGAGCCTGTAAGATTATTCGTATACGAAATGAATCAGGGCTTAAGGTTCATGAATTAGAATTCTAGCGCGGACCTGGCTCAGGAATGGGGCCAAGCTCAATCCTTCCTGAGCTTCCTGGTG